AGATATTAGGAAGAACTACTTCACTGTAAGGGTGGCCAGAGCCTGGAATAGGCTTCCCAGAGAGGTGGTGCTCTCACCTTCCCTGGAAATCTTCAAGAGGAGACTGGATAGGCACCTGGCTGGGGTCTTATGACCCCTCCCACCCCCAGTGCTCATTCCTGCCCATGGCAGGGGGTCGGACTTGATCTGTCTAGGTCCCTTCCGACTCATTGATTCTATGATTCTATTGTGACTGGTAGCAGTTTAAACAGTGTCAATTGTGACTCGCATGGGGTTAACATCTGATGGCAATTTTTAGACAAAGAAAATCCTGTCTTTGGGTCTAATGTGTCTGCTTTACGTTTGGTGAAGCTGATGAAATGAAAAACTCCTTATTAGTTCTCTGGTGCAATCTCCTGATGAAATGGGAGAAAGATGTTTGTTTTCTGGGCAGAAAACTCAAGATCCCCATGCAGTTCAGCCCATTGTACCTTTCACTCAAGTTGATTTTACAGCAAATTGCAAGAAAGCTCTGTTAATCTGACCTCCATTTAACTGAAGGTTGGTTCTGTCCCCAGACAGCAGTGCACATTAAGCCTTGCTTCACTGCTTATGCAAAACTCCACTTCTTCCTGAAGGTTGCAGATGTTTCTTAAACCCTATAGAAACATAAGTGTTTTACAGGACTTTATTTTAAAGCGTCCCTAGTGTACAGAAGGGCCAGAGTGGAGAAAAATTTATTTCTTCATCTGGAAACCTAGCAATATAATACTGTACCTGTTAAGAACCTGCGTGGGAAAAGCTGATTTCCTTGTACAATTAGGTAGTTAACGTTATCTTTTATATACTTGCACAGTGAGAATGATGTTTAAGATGCTAGGAAGCTCTTTTGAGAGTAATCGTTCAATAATATCACATTTCTGTTCAAGTAATTTCCCTGACCTCTGTTCCCTGAACTGGCAGAAGCTGTGTTGGTATGCTGCCCATACACATTAGGCATGTCTGCACGTTCATTAATGTAACATTATTATGACCCATTAAGTCTAGTACCTGTAATAACCTGTACTAACTTAATGTGCTGTAATCAGTGTGACTGCGCATTAGTGCAGATGAACAGTTTTTAAGTGATGTTAATGTGCATTAAACTAAGTCTGCTTTGCATTAGCATAGTTTTTGCTAGCTATGCTAATTCACAGTAGAATTAGTTTTCTGTGCATTAAGTGTCTCATGTAGACGCACCCACCCTGTTGCCCATGATGCTGATTCACATAATTTCAAACTGGGAGTATCTCAGGTCACTGTAAACTCTTAATCTGTCTATCTGGTGTGCAGCCCAAAGGAGTCTCTGATTTTGGCTGGGGTTTGAAGCCATTACTGGCATACAAATAGACAACAGTATAGTTTCATAGTTTCTAGGGTTGGAAGGGACCTGAGCATATCACCGAGTCCGACCCTCTGCCATGGCAGGAAAGAGTACTGGGGTCAAACGACCCCAGCAAGGTGTACATCTAGCCTCCTCTTAAAGAACCCCAGGGTAGGAGCCAGCACCACTTCTCTTGGAAGTTGGTTCCAGATCCTAGCCGCCCTGACCGTGAAGTAGTGCCTCCTGATATCTAGCCTAAATCTACCCTCTGCCAGCTTGTGACCATTATTCCTGGTCACTCCTGG